GGCTCAAGAGGCCAGAAAATGTGTCCCTGCCACTGCCCTGTTGCCTCCACAGTCACCTGCGACCATGAATCTGATGCATGGACTCCTGCACTCACTCACCATGGTCAGAGCTTCCTTGTCACCTGGAAATGCCACCGAAAACTGGCTCTGCTAAACCTCTCCCCAGTGCTTCACATTTGGGGAACTTAAACCACTCCAGGGCCTGAGCTACAAGGAAAACGTAGACTGTAGTTGTTGAAATCCTGTGATACATACAGGGAGAATGTCGAAGAAAGGAGAGCGTGGACTGCAAGAGCACACTATTTCATGGCTATTTGAGGTCTGTCTTGGGACCCCTCCTCCCTCACCCCTGCTGAGATGTCGACTCCTTCTAATTCCAGCTCCACTGCCCGCTGGCTGTGTCACCTAACTTCCCTGTGCCACACACCTCCGTTTTCTCATCTGTTGAGTGGGGACAGCAATGGCACTCACCTCCCAGTATTGTGGGGATATGTGCATAGAACAGGGTATGGCACGGAGGCAAACCCTCAACACCCTTCCCACTGTGTCAGTGACACTGTGACTCTGGGGGGTGTGCCACAGCTCATCCGGCGAGAGGACTTCTGGTCAATCGGCGTCTGCTGGTATTGGACTTTGGTAGGAAGCTCCCTAACTGCAGGACCGGCCTGCTGGTGCCGGTGCGGTGGCAGGCAAGTGTCTGTCGATGACAGATGGGCGCGTGGGAACGCATTGAAGGGCGATTACGCCCCCAAGCCTCTGCCCCCAATCGTGTAAGGTTGAGCGGGCCGCGGTGAGGACGCGGCCGGGAGCGCTTTGGCCTTCAAGGCCTAGGCTTGAACCGAACCCTGGCTGGGTTTGCAAGCCCTGCCGGCGGCAGGACCCCAGGCGCGTTTATGTACTCGGTTTCTTTTTACTGTGAAATGGGCCGATGACACCCACCTCCCAACACTACCCAGGTGAAGAGCAGATGGGACCCGCGATCCCAGAGCCCGGTCCCGCGCTCCCCCTCTACTCCGAGGACCCTCCCCCGCACGGCCGGCAACTGCCTCGGAG